AAAATTTTTCGGCGCGCGTTTCTGTGGGACTACATACGTAGTATATAAATTCACATAAGAATCATACAAGCATTAAGATCCAGCTAGACCGTGTAAAGGCTTTGATTTCTATTGCCTACAATTATTGAAATTGTATTAATTTCTATAATTTTTGTCATTTTGTTTGATCGATCATAATCGTCTTTATTTCGTGTGAATAATGTAATTTTTTATTTTGATTAATATCAAAAGAATTTAATTCTTATATCATTTTTAGAAAAATATTTTGTATCTATAAACATTTCACGAGATCATCAAAGTTTGTAACAAACCATTGCGCGCGTGATTTTACATTTTCCCTAATTACATTTCCTCCAAATCCTGGAACAAAAATAAATCTGTAATAATGATAATCAAGCAGATCATAGTTTATGATCTGCTCGATTATCATTATTGCACAACTTCTATCATTATTTTAACATGAAATATGAATGTTGCGAGACATTGAGAGACAGTTTTTTCAAGCAAATATTATACACACCTATAAATGCGTCCGCTGGCGGTGACGCTTCTAAATCTGTTGAGCCGTCACCGACATGTACGACAATCTTGAATCCTTTTTCCTCCTTAAGACGCCGTATTACTTCTCCTTTACCACCGCTTCTAGAAGTTGGTTGAGTCTCATCAAAGCCAGCATATTCTCCTACGATACACATTTGTATGTATGAATATATATTGTACATTCAAAACAGCTATAAATATGCATACCCGTGAAATAAAATTTTAATCTATTAGCATAAATATTCTCAGGTGGAATGTTAAGTTTGGCAGCAACTGGTGTGATAAGACAGCGAAAACCACCAGAGACAAGAAATACTTGCTTTCCTCGAGCTTGTAAAGTAGACACTAACTTTCTGAAATAAGTATTAAAAAAAAATTGTTAAAAATACACAAATCTTCGTTTACTCATTTCTATATCCTGAAAAATGAAAATCTTACTTTATACCAGTGGTAAGTGATGGCTGATGTGTATTTAAAAACTCCTTAACTTGTGTCATACTTGGATTTATGATTCCCAGTCTTATAGATAAGGATTGTTGAAATGTCATATCACCTTGCATAGCCTGCTTTGTTCTGAAAAATTTTCGATATTTTTGCATCGATGAAAGATGTGAAATCTGGTATCTTATTGCGAGAGTAAGATCCCAGGTAGAACACAAAATCATAATAAGATCAAGGTTGACATCAAGGTGAAGTCATTTAGAGAAAAAAAACGAACAAAATAAGGAATGTACAATTCAGTGATTTGTTTTCCTTTCCCACAGAAACTGGCTAGTTCATCGATAGCTTCCTCAGTTATAACAGTGGAATCTACATCGAATGTTACAGCATCCGCAGTTCTCCATATATCTCTTATTTGATTCGGACTCATCTAGAAGAATAATGAAATTAATAAACAAAGAAAAGGGAAAATTAAGTACAGGAAAACATAAGTTTTGTTTTGTTTTTGTACTTTTAAAATAATCGACTTGTAAGTTAGAAGAAAGAAACGGGAAGTCAAGATTGTACTTTTCATAATGGACGATACAAAATTTCCGCCAGGACTGTTTCGTCCTGCATGCACATCCGGAATATTTGTGTGTATAAAGACTCGAGTTCTCAGTGTTCTCACGTGATGTCATACGTTGTATCGTGACGTTCATTTACCGACGATTGACAATTGCGTGTGTGCGTCAATTGCGAAGCGGAGGCTGTGACCCAACAGAATAGCAATGACCGATTATCATGCTTGCGTCATACAGAGAAAAGCAGAAAAGAGAAAGATCACACGAGCATAAAGTGTGCATGAAACATGAAGGTTTTACCACCTGAGTGTAGACTTCCGTTTACATCCAGAGAAATGCAATAAGACATAAGAAATTTAATGAAATAAAACAAATGGATAAATAGAAAAGGAGAAAATAATAATTAGAAATTTAAAAAACTCTCAACATAAACGTATAAAGGCAGTTTTTTTTAAGTAGAAACGATTTCCTTTTCTTTAAATTCATCTATAGTTAGTACAGAGTCGCATTAAAAATCTTCATCTAAAACAAGAAGATGTATCTTATTGTTTTAGCCTTGTTATTTACATGTTAGACAAGAATAAAATAAGATCTGTATATGAAATTTCTGAACGCAGCTCTGCGGTATTCGGTTTGAATCGACTAGATTTTTATTCGAAGGTTCTATAATCATGCAAGTTGCAAGAATGCGATCGCGAAGAATGAAAATTACCTTGTCGACACCGGCGAAATTGGCAGGCCACGGCAAGCACAACGGACGGCAACGGCGAACGAACTGTGTGCCACCGCAGTACTGTAGTGGCAGAAGGAAGTGGAAGCTCCGTGGCAAATTTATCACGCGATCGACCATACAGTTTCATAAGCTATCTCGTAATCACGCGAAATTGTTGGCGGGGGGTCGAGCGCACTCGAGTTCGTTGAAACTTGTTTTTCGCGCGATCAATCCTCCTTATTTATGACAGATTCACCTTTGTTTTTCTGTGATAAGATATTACGCTCGGATAATTAATTGCTCAAATCTCGTGTAAATGTATAGCAAATAAATACAATTGAATTTTTCTAATTAAACACAATTCAGTTTCGTATGCTTATTAGGGGACTCGGATTTAATTGCTTTGAAAATGCATTTTTTATGTAACTGCTGTAAAAGATGACAAACAACCATTTTCTATAATTTTCCTTGTTGAGAAAATTACAGGGAATGGAAATTAAGTTACTTTTTAAAAGTAACAAGTTACAGTTACTCCGTTACCGAGAGTAAAAAAAGTAACATATAAGTTACCGTTACTTGAGAAAGTAACTTTTCCGTTACTTTTTTAAAGTCGACGACCGCCAATCATAGCGGACGGGCCTAAGGGCTTTCTAATCTTAAGCGATGCACTGTAAACAATTTTTGTGCAAAATTACGACTATTATAATGGGTAATTTTGAGATCCTCATAATAGTTGTAAACGTCCACGCGTTTGTAAATTTGCAATATAAAAATAAAAATAATTTCTTGATTTATAACTAAGCAGATTGTGGAAGTACAATTATTAGGTGTTAAACTTAATTCCTGCCGTTTTTCGTCTCCAAAATTGATTTGTTTCGAAGGGAAATACCTTAGTCAAAGCATTACTAATAAAGTATTATTAATTAGTAATAAAGTAGAAAATGGAGAAAATTACTTTGATTAAGGTATTCATGAAATTAAGGTATTCATTCATCTTCCCTTCGAAACAAATCAATTTTGGAGACGAAAAACGGCAGGAATTAAGTTTAACACCTAATACAATATGTATTGTGTAGTTACAGGAACGATAATATGACATTCGCACTATATATTGTATTATATGTGCAATTAACAGCACAATGCGCGAACAATTACTGTTACTTGCGTAAATAATATACTAAAATTTGAATAGTTACAGAAAATATTAAAAATATCCTGCTATTTATTACGTAATTTTCCATATAGAATAAGATATATTTACGCAATAAAAGCAAATTTACATAATTTTTGTGAAATTATACATAATTTCTGTAAAATTGTATGATTTTTTATATTTACAGGCCTAATCATGTAATTTTTACATCTATTTAGATTAAATGAGCAATGTTAAAATGACCGATAAACAAAAGTATATATTTTGTTATTCTACGATGATTTTTTACAGAACGTTTCTGTAAAAAGTTAACCTCCTCAGCGCTGTGTATAAATTCAATTAACTTTCTGTATTTTAATAAAATATTGCAAATTAAAACAGCTTTTTATTTATCGGTCATCCTTAACATATATTGTTCGTTTAATATAATAGACCTTGTATTTTAATTTGTTATTGTTTAACAGTTTAAATGAGTGTGTAATAAAAACTATATAATTGTATTAATTGAAAAAGCACATGTTATCTTTGCCATAACCTAACGACCAGTCACTCTGTCGTAACTTATTATATCATCATCATTATCATCATCATCATCACCATCATCATCATGATCATCATCGATAATTATTATCGATTAACTCTCAATATTCTCAATCATTCAATTATTTCTTAGATTGATAAAATATCAATAGTTGGCAATGTCGAAATCAACATGGACGATATATCGATTGGTGGTAACAGGACAAATTAAGTTTCGGCATTTTGCATGTAGATGGCACCGCTATTGAAATAGAATAGCAGCGCACATTCGAATTGTTTGGAGGAAGAAAAGTCCGCGATGTTTTTATCAGAGATTTTTACTTTTGGATAATTCGAAAGGTAGACTATAGACATTCGAGAGATACCTTATTATTGGATAATTTTAATCTTTCCTTTGTTTCTTCTGTAGATAAAGGCTACGTTCGGAAACGTCGCTCGGATGCCTCTGATGCCTCGGATTCATCATCTGTCCTTGTTTAACAGCTAATATTAAACAAGGACAGATGATGAATCTGAGGCATCGGAGGCATCTGAGCGACGTTCCCGAACGCAGCCAAAGAAACGAACGTGTTCGATGTAAATCATAATGCAATTAAGTAGACTATTATATGAAGTATGTCTACTTGCATCATGGAGTAAATGTATTCGATTTATACCATATTATATATCATACGTTCGCAATTTATAAATAGCTGTAATAATTCTTAAGATTATATTGATTAGCAATGTAGTGACAAGGAAATTTGAAAATTTCAAAATTAAGGAGGATTTGAAGTATCGAATTTTCATCATTAAGAGCCGGTTGTTCCATCTTTTGGTAAATTTTATCTGTGAGGTAAATCTGATAATCTATGCATGTGATTGGGTAATCTTGCTACTTACCCAACACGTAAAATTTACCGGAAGGTGGAACAACCGGCCCTCACTCTATCATTAACTCTAGAATTCTAAACTATTCATAAATTTGACGATAAATTCAAATTCATGGTAGCTATAATTAGGGTTAAAAGTTAGACCAGTCAAACGAGTGATAGTTTCATATATTACAGAACAAGCTCGAATAGAGAGGTATTTTATGCCCGTATTCATAGTCAGACCTTGTACTTAAGGCTTCTTTAAATTTATCTTTAGATGTTCGGTAGCCAATGAAATAATTCGTAGAATATCTGAAGATTTAAATTTAAGGAAGTCTTAAATATAAGGCCTGACTATATACGGGTATTGGTCTCCAAGTCCAAACAAATTTTGAATATATACAGGGTGTTTTCAAATTCGCGTCCGCGAAGTACAAGACGTCATATTTTACGCTAAAAGAAACAATTTTTTCCTTTTGCAAAATTGCATCTGACAAGTAGTTTTTGCAGGAGAACAGGTTGAAGCCAACAAATAAACGCAAAAATTATTTATCGGACGCAATTTTGTTAAAGGAAAAAGTTGTTTGTTTTAGCATAAAGTATCACGTCTGTTACTTCTTGTACTTCGCGGGCGCAAATTTGAAAACACCTCGTCACATATATAAAATTTTTCTTCCAATAAAATATTTATAAATAGTGTTTTTTTTGCTTTTTGTCAAAGAAGCTCAGGATTCTGTACGAAACGTAAATTTATGGAAATAGAAGATGATGGATGCAATTAATCCCGGTTAAATGTAAAATAAGCGGCGCTCTCCACTTAACAATATGGAATAAGTATAATAGTTATAGACACGATATCCTTCCATCGAGAATGGTCTCTTAAGCAAAGAAATCTCTGGTCGTGGGTGTATAAGCGCGAAGCGTCGCGACGCTCCGTCGTGGTGCGCATTCTCCGACGCAGATATGCTGGGCGTCAAGCGCCGGGCGCGAAGCGGAGCCACCGAGATGATCGCGCGGGTTGCGGCCGATAGTTTTCGCTCTTCAACGCCCTTGTCGCGATGGGTGGCCGCTCCGTAAGTTTTAATTTGGCGGTCCTCCTCGCTGCATGTGGTCTGTTGATAGCCGACGATACCGGCGATACTGCCGACGGACTATCGCTGATCAACGATCCGCGTTGTTCGCCATCGTTCAGCGTGAACCTCAGCTTGGAGAATAGCGTTGACGGTGCGGCGTCGCGACTTTTGGAAAACGGCAGCTTTTTCTACGATGGCATCGTCTATCCGGCTGAACTGCGCTGGACTGACGGCAATGTCACTTATGGTTGCATTTGCAGATTACGCAATTGTATCAGGAAATGCTGCCGAGATGATGAGGTTCTCCGCAATAAATCGAACAATTCCGAGATATGCCAGAAGATGCCTCAGAACGATACGGAGCTGATAACCGAGATACCACATTTGCGTCTATCGAGGAAGCAAATGACCAAGGAGATTCAACACATTGAAAATCTGAAGAATCACTTCCACCTGGTGCAGGATAATGTCTGTCCTAGCCAGCAATACTACACTATCTATCCCGATGACGACAGTAACGAGCAGATTATTCTCCAGGCGAATGGCAGCTTGGTGGACACTGCTGATGGGAAGATCTCTCCGTTTTGGAATTATTGCATTGATTGGAAGATGACCGTCGATCGAATTGGCGTCTTGGTTTGCTATACGCTGGAAGAGGAAGCAAAAGATTTTCATTATCATGTGGGCATCATGGTGTCCATTCCATTCCTCATTGCCACTTTCTTGGTATATGCAATTACTCCTGAGTTGAGAAACCTCTACGGCAAAACGCTCATGTGTTATGTCATCTGCTTAATTATCGCCTATGTCTTCCTGATCTTGGCCAACTATATTTACCTGTCTCCAATACGCGTGTTATGCTTCAGCACAGGTAAGCAGCCTCTTTATGTAATACTTATCCGTTATTTCTAACAATCAACACTCGTAAGTTGAGCCGTCGGCAGATATTTTTCTGTGATCGTGATAGAAAACTTGTTACGATTTTAGTAGAGTTGAAAAATTATTATGCGGCATTATTACTTTGTACGTAACGCAGGAAAGACTGATGATCGCATCTTACTGTGTGCGAAAAAATAATTAAAATGATAATCTCGTGCAAAGTCAATGTATGTCAATGTTTAAATCACAAATCTACATTTAATTTCGTGTTACCTTATTTTTTCTTCGAAATGATAATCATGGGAATATTATCTCGCGAGAGAATCTACACGAATGCGAATAATAAAGTAGATGACACTATGCGTTAATGAAATAATTACTATAATGTAATAATTATTAACATTCTACTTATGGAGTTAATTATTACTTCTAGGAGAGCATTATAATTCCAGCAACGAGTAAATTTGTTATAGGTCCTTTTAAAAAATGTCTGGTCATTTTGAGCGAGAATAACCGATATTAATATTCAATATTAATTTTTTAATATACTTGAGAGATCTTATAAAAAATGAGATATTTTTAAATCTCTTATACTATTTTAACTTTTTATATTTAGATTTTTATTCATACTGCTTTTAAAAATAGTTATCATGAATAAAATTATCATTGTCAATGTGAAAAAGATACATCACGAACTTATATTTATGGTTGTGAAGTTGGATGCTTAGTCATCAATGAATTAATCAACTCATATATATTAATTGATAAAACGGCAAAGAAGAAAATTAAAAATAAGAAATATTAGATAAATAAGAATATATAACAAAAAAATATATATATAGTATAAATATGATATACATATAAAGTATAAAGAAAAATTATAGATTTAAATACAAAACAGATTTTTCCTCTTTAATAATAAACTTTTAATAATAACAAAAGAAGGAAACTTTACTATAAATAAACACATGCACATATTGTATTACGTATAAATAAGTATAACATTGTATTCCACCATCAATATGGAGCACAAATCGTATGAATCAGCGTGCTTTTTTCTGCACGCGCGATTCCGATATCTCTGTGATTAGTGATGATGTAAGAATCATATACTACATTTCCTGATACAATTTAATCATCATTCGTTCCACGTTATTTTGAGGAAAACATGATTGAAAAGGTCCTTTCAGTGAGGAAAGTCGGGATCAGATCCGAACCAAGGATCTGTTGGCGCCTGTCTAGCCATCACTAACTTCGATTTCCCGTAAAACAAATGTTAACGATCCTTTCAATGAGTACGATGTGAGACGAGTACAAACCGGTTTTTTACGTATTATGTGTTGTATATCTTTATATTGGTCAAGCATCATTGCTTATAAGGTGGGATAAAAGTATACGTGAATAACGGTATAATAAAAGTATAATTATATCATCTTTGGATTTTCAATAACTTACTTTTCTTTTGTACTTTAGGGTGATAAGATCGAGAAAATATTAGCTGTGAGAACCTCTCACAGGAAATAAATTTTTTTTCTACGCCCGTACTATCGATTAATAGCCTCTTGAGATAAATCTTTCGGCTGTATATAAAATAGCACCTGGTAGAAATTGAAATTTTTGTTGCTCGTCTAATCATTCGTAAATCTATTCTCAGTTTTTGTAATCTTCCCGAAAATGTAATGGCTCTCCATTGCGGAGCATAAAGTATCTAAACAGCTTCTAAATTTACGTTGCTGCTGGATTGGTCAAGCTACCATCTGTAGACTATACTAGTTTGTCAATGAATCTTTTTTTTTCGAACCGCCCTATATGTGTGGCTTCGCAGCAGGTAGGCTGCTTCTCTAACGTAGTCGGCTCGTTGTCTGGTAGTCTCGTTCGGTTGCTCGCGCGAGTGTACGCATTTCTCGTGTGCTCTTCCTGCTTCATCCGACGCCAGGAAAAGTCGCGGCAAAGCAGAACATAGTGCTAACTTTATCGAATCCATCAAGATAACTGAAAGTTAACGCAATCGTTAGTGATAACAGTGCTACATTTGAATCCGGATGAATTTTTCATATTTCAACGATTTGCTTAAGAAAAAAGAAATCGTGCAATAATTTTACCACCGCTCGCGTTAATTCCACACACAATCTCCCCGATAAATAATCATATTGCATAAGTCAATACGTCATTATCAACTCAATTGATAATAACTCATTTAAATATACACCCCTTTTTCAGTTATTTGAATTATTGATGATCCCTTGGCTCACTTGACTCATTGATCATCAGAGTAGTATTCGCAGTATATTCAATAATTAAATATTTTTGCAACATAGCAGGTAAAAATATTTTTCACATAAACAAGTTGCTTATTTAACAAACAGTATTGGATAATCGAATTTCTGTACTGTATATATTAACTTCAATATTGTCAATATTTAACCGTATAAATGTCGCTGTATGTAGATACTTTGAGATCATCATTTATATATTTATATGGTTAGATGGTGTACATTTCATGAGAGCTATATACGTTTAAATGCAAATCTGTATATTTTAGTTATCAGTTAACATCTCATTAATCTTTTTGCTTAGAACCATAACTATAAAATAGCAATAATTAAACGAATAAAATTGTATTATCTTGATATACAGAATATAATTATAAATTATATTAGTAATATGGGGAGATAATATTTAAATATGTTACAAATTGTATTTGTAATATATTTACTTATGTAACTGTTTATCATTTATATATTTGTAACACATATCTGTGAATAGTATATGCTTTTTGTAAATAACTATATCTCATGTAACCAAGGATGTTGTTATAACCACATGATATCTTAAACACTGATTAAAGTTCGCACCCTTCTTTATCACTTTCACTCGATTGGTTCAACAATTCACGCACTGAACACAGCGAGACACAGTAAGGTTAACGAGTAATAAGAGATATAATTGGCTATATTTTATTATCATTTTATGAGACAAAGAGAGAAACTTACCGTATTTCTTCAGAGAGTTATCGTGTTTTTTATCTTTCTCTTTCTCTCTTCCGCTTCATTTCTTGTGGCACTTTCGTGAGTAAGCTTCCGCACGGCGATAACGTTGAGAGGCGGTGACGATAATTATTCAGAGTTGCTGTTTAGCAGCCTCATTAAATTAGTACATAATGAAACGGCATCTGAGAACAGCCCTGTTCATCGCGTTTCACACGGTCTTTGTCGCGGCTGCCACTTTCGAAAGCGATCAGGCAAAGGAAAAGCCAGAGGAATCAAAATGGAAGGAAAATTTTATCGTCCCTCATGTTTATCTGGAGGTAGAGATAATTCCAAGTTCAATTGCATACTATGTTGTACTTGGAATTTGTCGATGAGATATTAATTCGTCGCTTTGCTAACGCGTATTATAATACTTTGCTTACCTTAACGATATTTAATGCTGATTTCGATCGTTATGATGACTGATAGTAAATTTTCGAGTAATATAGTATTCGAGTATTCGCGAAATAATGATCAGAGACGATTACTAATTGTTTGTGTGCCGTAATTAATGACTTTTAAAAGAACTTGCATCTTGAGAATTAACTTGATGAAATGTGTAAATGCAAATAACCTAGATACAATGAAACATGTGGAACATTTATACATTTATAGACCAGAAGCTGCTTAAATATTAATCTACTAATGAATTACAGTAATTTGTTCATCTCTGATTGACTAATTCACATAGTGGCTTGGACTCAATTATGTTCTCTATTAACTATAATTGGATGTAATACGCAGAAAGGAACCAACATCAAAAAGTTGAGTAATATTCAGATAGTAATCAGAAAAATTCTACAGTAGCATGTGTGGATCTAAAAATAAAATAATTTTGCCCTAATTAATTGTATTATGTACAACTCGCTATCGGCTATATAATACTTTCAATAACAAAAATCTAAAAAATGGTATTTGGTTCCTCTTTGCTCATGTCCAATCGTGAATTAACATTATTTGTTTTCGTTTCCTCTGGCTCTTTACTCCTAGAAAACGATTGGCATCGATGGTGACAGCTCCGGGAAGCCCCGCATGTCGCTATGCTGTCGTGTCGGCACTTTCCTCAACGGAGACAATTGCGTGGAGGCCACCATGAACGGGACGGAAGCGGTACAGTTGCCAGTGATCTACGAAATGGATCTTATATCGGCGAATGTCACTGCAAGTGACAAATATTTTGATTTTGTAATATGGAATCCATGTGCTGGTATGAAACGATATTCTTTGAATCCGCGTGTATACAAGGACGACGAATGGTATCTACTGTCCAATGGCTCCATAATACTACCTCTGTCTGAAGAGCCGGAGGAACGTCTCCTCGACTATTATCAGTACTGCCTGGCGCGGGTGGAAAGTTATGAGTATCCGGAATATATGGTGTTCTTCTGCGATGAAGCGATCGAAGACGACGGCGGGATCATATATTCCTCTGGGATGCTCGCATCCGTCCCGTTCCTGGTCGTCACATATGTTATCTACTGGTTACTGCCCGAGCTGAGGAATCTGCATGGTCTGACATTACGCGGATACGTCGGCTGCCTAGCGATGGCGTACAGCATACTGGGGGTGTTGCAACTGACACCGCAGGAACAAATTCCAAACGGCATCTGCATCGCAATCGGTATATCTATAAAATGATGCGATTTCTATTAACTCGTGTTATACACAAAGAAGATTAATGCTAACTTGCGCGGTGGAATTAATTTCTAACTGCAGGAAACATTACTGTTATCGGTTTCCAAATATGATAATTTCTTTACGAATTGTTTACACACACACACACACACACGCGCGCGCGCGCGCGCGCGCGCACGCGCGCACACACACACACACACATATATATACATACATATATATGTATTCATATCATATGTATTATGCATACTTCTGTAGAGACCGCGTCAGACCGGATGAAACGTGGCTTTAGAAATCTTACGAATTAATGAGATCTGTTCAATACACGAGTACATGACAACTTTCTAAATGCTCTCGCAATATCTGCTTTTCTTGTAAATATCGATACTAATATTTAAAAATTTGTTGTAATATCATTTACAGTTCATTATAACATATATATGCATAAATTGTTTATTACTCAACGAATGAGAAAGTCAGTATTCTGTTTCAGTGATATACAAGAAATTATAATTTATTCATTTTTTTAGATTATATAATTAATTATACAACTAAAAGTTATTTTCTATATTTTGCTTCTATGCTTGCCTTGTACATTTGCCTTGTATTTAATGTAGTCTGCTTCTTTCATTCAACTAACATAGAATATATATTCCACTGATTTAATATAGAACTTTTCAATACTTAAAAATTTGAAATTTATATAATATGGTGAAAATGTACGTTTAGCTCAATTTGTTCCATTTAATTAGTTTAGAAATTATCTTTAGATCTTTAAAGATATTTTTTTAAATCGAACGCTTTGAAAAATGGAGTGTAAAATAAAGTTTTCTTAGACATCGATTGTAATAATTTATCTCGGTTGTTCCGAGACGAACCGGAAGCTCGTCTTAAACCTGAGAAAGTGCTAAAAGCCCTTAAAAACAAATAAATGCAAACATGTCATGCTACACATTCCCCATACTCTCCGAAAAACAAACTATAGGACTCACCTTTAAGGAGTCTTCCCTTGTTCTGTCATCTTTAGCCGAAACAGGACCTGTTTTAACGAGGTGCCTTCTTTTTCATCGTTTTCTTCCTGGCATTCACTTGTACGTTTGCTGCAACACACGTTCGTCCTTCGGAGAAAAGTGTCGCAGTCGCGGCTAAATGTACACAGACTGACGATATCACGCGTATCTTCGTTTCCGCAGTTTGCGATATCGTTGCGGTTGTTCGATATCTGACTACGAAGTCGTTTGAAGAGAAAAGCAAGACGGTTCAGTAAATTCGACGTGTCGACGGATCGACGATGCATCGACAAAATCTCGCGCTTTGGTGTTACACGCTTTTATTTGTCGCCTCCTCTTCCGAGCCTTGGGGAAATTCCACGACGACGAGCGACGATGTAAAGTCGATACGATATAATCTACATAAAAATTCCACCAAGAATGACGAACAGTACGAGTTTCGCGCTAACTCCACAAATGACAACCATGAAGATAATGACTCGGTGCAATATGCGTTTCATGCACAGCGATCCGTGAAAAATCACGAGAGCAGCAATCAAATGCTGATGGAACTTGGCGCGAATTCTACAAAAGCCAATGATGAGAACAACTCCACATTATACAATGGAAACTTGACGCAAGTTGAAGACACAAGCAACTTAACGTTGTACGAGCTTTCCGAAAAGTTCTATCAAGATGAGAAAAATATTGTTCCTTACCAGATGTGCGAGAACATTACATGCATTCCGCTTTGTTGTCCTTTCGGCAAACGTCTGGAAATAACACAAATTAATGATACTATTAAAGAAGAGTGTGTTGTTGGGCAATTTAATTATCCCTTTCCCGATGTATACGAGTATGTGATAAGCGATTCGAAGAGGATACCAATTGGTAAAAAATTGGATCAAATTTTTCCTCTGACTATTCATGATCCGTGCCAGCATCAACGTTATGTGCTTGAACCTGAAACTAGACAAAGTGATGAATATTTATTTCTTAGCAATGGCTCTTTATATCAACCAAATATCGATGAATTTATCGTTACACCATATTGCCTTGCCGTCTGGCAAAATGATGAGAAATTTGATGTAACTATTTGCTTCGACAGTGAGGCTGAAGACGTCCCGGAAGAAAATAAAAGAATACCTATGGTGGGTCTAATAGTGTCCTTGCCGTTTTTATTGGCAACATTCGTGGTGTACTCCATACTGCCGGAACTTTGGAACATGCATGGCTACACGCTGCGCGGATACATCGGCTCGTTGTTCGTCGCGTACACATCTCTCGTAATAATTCAACTAATCCATCAGGCCGTAATATCGTATTCCGCCTGCATCGCATTTGGTACAGCATATAATAATACAATAAATGCAGCGTATACATCTATTTTACCATGTATATTCGCGTGTCAATTATTCTCTTCCTCTCTGATAACTGGAAAGTAAAGTTATTAAAACAATGAAACGAATAACCAGTAAAATTTAAATCTGGATACAGAATTAATTTGAAAGTTCATTGGATGAATATCTCTCTTTTTTCTTTTTGTGAAAATTAGCAAATTTTTGTGTCGTGATTTTGACGTAATATTTAAAAATCGAAATTGAAATAGTTTTTATTTAATAACATATTATTTTCAAGGTTTTTACGATTTTTAACTGTCAATAAATTTATAATAAAATAATGTTTTTTCAAGAGTAGATCTATTATCGGCACTTTAATGCATGATTAATAGCCGTTTATTCAACTGTTTCAGCTTTCATCATCCACTTCTCGTTTTTGGCAAGCTTCTTCTGGCTAAATGTGATGTGCTTCGACATTTGGTGGACATTCGGGTAAGCTATTAAAATATTCCATACTATCGAGCCATATTCATTTCATCTGCCATCAAACTGATTTATTAAAGACAATCTTGTAATATAGTTCTGGAACGAAATGGAACGAAGACATTTAGACTTGAATCTCGAACATAATTATTCGTAAAACCATTCCATTTTTATATACATATAATCGATTTATATTTGATATATATTTTCAATTATAATTTGTACAATGTAATTTGATATATATATTGTATATATTTATTTATAATTGAAACATTAATTACGGTTTATCAAGGATAAAACTTTTCCAGATCGAGTTCTAGGTCAAAATAAGTTAATTGATTCGCCAAATATTTTCACAAGCGCCACTTGATCCGGCGCTTGTGGTAAAGAAATTTGATAATTGACAAACACTAGGGGAAATTGATAGCGACAGGATGCGAATTAATATCCGGTACGTGACGACGTGCGTATGTGGCGCAAACACAGCCGAGTTAATTTTGATCTCCTTCGCGCTTAGACGTCGCGTCAGTCCAAGAAGCTATTCGAACAGGCAATATTTGTGGACGGAAAATGTCAGTAGAGCATATCCTCAAACACTGACATTCACGAGTTGCGTGAATATGAACGTTGAATATATCCATTTAACAATGAAAACTTGTTAATGCATACATAATTCAGTTTATTAACGAAACGTTTCAACGCATTTTCTAAATGAGATTAAGAAACGATATCAATATATAAATCATTTGTGATCAATTTAACAGTCAATCAATAATAATCAATCAATTTAATATTATATCATATATTTTAGTCACGTCTATGACATACAATACATCCTTTTTTTTGTACTGTCATTATATACGTTCGTGTGGAATGCTATAAAACAATTTATTATCTCTCGCGTGTCAATGAAATTTCATGATGCGATATAGTCGTGTCGCTATTTACTATTGCCGTGCGGAGATGAACTGACCTGTTGTCGCCAAGCCCGTTTGGGGGTGTGACGACTGATGTGTACGCACATTGCCTGTTCTCTTGTAATCAATTACGAGGGTGTCGAGCGCGTGTGCAGTGGATCGTACTTGGAACTGGATTAATTTCCTTCTTTATTGCGTACACGCATCATACGCAACATTATTGCCGTCGCTACGCGTGTCCTCGCGGAAACATGAATCATCCTTCGGCTTAGTAGAATTTTATATATGTGTTTGTGTCATTTTAATAATCAGCTTTTAATTTTAATTCTTTCATGTTATCGTTAATATCTATCTATTCCACTCTTCTATGCGTTCCATTTCTTAGTCCATATTTAAATCAAGTTCATTATATTGCTACAACTGAAAAGAAAAGATCATTAACTTATGCAATAGATTATTTTATATAAAAATTTTCATTTAAAAAAATTACGTTTTCTATATGTATTATGACTGTGTTCACTTTGGCGCTCACAACGCTTTAAGCGTCGTTTCATACTTATTGTTTATTAAATATTAAACAAAGACAATTGATGTTCACAAGCGCTGTAAGCGCCAAAGCGAACACAGCCTATAACATTTAAACTTAATTGTACAAAGAACCACCTATTGAATTGAGATTGGTAGTGTTGAAAGACATCTTTGAAAGTTAGGGGATAATATTTTTCACATAGCTTTTAGAATTTATAAATTATCTTTGTTTACATTTCCTGGGTTGCTACAGAAAATGAATTTTAAACTTCCCTGACTTTTCCAGATTTTCCAGATGAAAATGGAAAATTTTCCATGACTAATATAAAATATGTAAATTTTAACATTTAGACTCTAGGATTGTAGGAAAGCTGTATTATTAAAAACGCCAAAAAAGCTTAATAGCATAGTAAAATTTTGGATGCAAATTCAAGCCAACAAAAAATAAATTAGTTTTGAAAAAAAAGAATGCAGTTACGACGAAAGAGGGATCAAATAAAAATACTGAATACAATATAAATTTGAATTATTTTGTTCAAATCATTTAAAGTGCGCAAGTTTTGAATTATAAACGTTAGATATAATATTTAAAAAATTATAACAATTATATTTGGAATAGGAGCAGTTTCAGGAAATTGTGAGCAAATTTTGAAATTCCAGACTTTTTTACATTTTCCTCTGATTTTTCCCGGTTTTCCAGGTCTGTGGCAACCCTGATCTCTTAAATAAATAAATATAGAAAATTAAATTTGAAATATTTTTTAATTATCAATACGTATCATAGTTGCATCGCTTATATAGCTTATAAAATAACTGAACAATATTTACGCATTGAACATATTTACGAGAAACTATGCGACTTAAGGCGATAGTTATTTTAATGTGCATTTGCATAGCAACTTGTTCTACTTGTGGCTAGCTCAATATGATAATATGTAAATCGCATTTTACAGGGGATTCCGTTCGTTACAAGGAAGCGTAAAACAACGAGAGAGAAAAAAATTTATTATATATTCAATTTACGCGTGGGGAAGCGCTTCCCTTCTCAGTATCATTTGTGCCATCATGGATTTCGTTCCCAGCGTGCCAAAGGAATTGATCCGACCGGAAATTGGTGTCACAAAATGCTGGTTCAATAGTAAGTGGATGTTTACTGATAGTAACAATACCGATTTTCATTAAAACCATGATCAAATCTGAAAATTGCCTACATTAACACGTACAAAATACGACGTATAATGCGAGAAATTAATTTTTAGCGGACGAGGCGAGGGCGTTATATTTTTATGGACCCATGGGTCTCACCGTTATCTGCAACATTTGCTTGTTTATCTCTACAGCATTAAAAATTGTGCGTCACAAGAAGGACACAGCTCATCATTTGAGAGGCTCGGAAAGCAGACGCCACGATGACAATAAGCAGTGGTTTGTAGTACCTACATTTCTGCACTGACGTGATAATCATATTAATATGATATATGCCGATATATCAGTTTCCGAACGGTTTTGCATAATGTCGATCGGTCCTCGTTCCCGTAAAAGATGATTATTTTTAGATGGCAACTTTCCCATGCGGTGGTTTGCTTTCATAATTACGAAATCTTTTGAAACAACAAACACATTGCCGCCGTTTCGAACGCGCGCGCAGAGATTCCTCGAGAACGTCTGTGATTCTCGAAAGAACGACAAACGATCGTGCGAATAAAATCAAAGTGATTACCCTTATTTCATAAAAACGGAAATCATATGTCTTCAAAATTTCTTAAGAAAAACTGAGCAACTTTCTCCCTTTTAATTTAAAACTTGATTACGAGAAGATATTTATCTTTAGTAAAATTGATTATTTCGAATGCTTTCGTCCATAATACAATTCTTTGTTTTAATAATTCTAAATTATATAAGATGCATATATACATAAGATACAAAAACAAATGTATTTGCATGCAGGTTTAATCTGTATCTGAAGTTATTCATCGTGATGGGCATAAACTGGTCTATGGAAATAATATCATGGCTATTCAAAAATGCGCCGCCATCCATCTGGTATCTCACCGATCTGACAAATACTCTGCAAGGTCTTATCATCTTCATTATATTCGTATGGAAGAAGAAAATAAAGCGGTTGCTGTTAAAGCGTTTCGGTTGTCAGGATCGCGATTTCTTCTCCAGAAACTCAACACGCAGTGGCAATCACAGTTCAGCTTCGCGTACCTGCACTACTACATCAGGCATAATGTCTCTGCAGGAGAAGGTCAATCCTTATGTGCAAACAAATTGCCGCGCGAAAAGTTCATCCGATGAGGTTGATCCTTGAATGTTGCAATGCAAGAGAAAGATTGCACTATGTGGAATAGAAATCGATGATTATAATGTGACCAGGTGGTGCCGTAATTTAATTCTCCACTCGAGAATTAATTTTACATTGCTTGCGTTGATCTCTCTTAAGAACACCAAAATTGGTGTTTTCCACCTCTCTTTTTTTATTTCTTTAAAATGTACTTACAAGTTTTTTTATCTCTTTTACAATCCAAAGATGATTAAAGAAATTAATTAACTCAGGTAGAAAGGTATCGTCTATTTGATTGAAGTAATTAATTAATCGTTCTCGACAAATCTGACGTCCTACCATTGTAAAAATAACGTAGATTTGTTACAACCACATAACGTCATACAAACCGATATCAAAAATATGTTATTTTCGTGCTATTAATGGCATAAATAAATAACGTTATTAATTGATCACTATAATGTTACCAATATATCGTCGATTAGTCATTTATCTAATGTCAATAAGTATGACGTTATAAATACGTCGTAGAATGGATAAATGACGTCAATGTATAATTTAAAATGACTAACTATTGACGTCAAAATAATTACAACTTGCTACCTGCGAAATTACTTGCGTCTATTATCGTCTTCATTAAAATGATAAAAGCATTATTGTGTATCATATATATTGACTGCCGTATGCCGTAATTTTGTATAAATTTTATTTTAATATATAGGGTTCATTATTATTATACATCGTTGATAACATTTTGATAAAAAGGCTACGGATAATTTTACTAATTTTAACTTCAACTCATAATACATTACTCGTACATAACTATCTTTTACATTCTCTCTTTTAAATATTTATTTTTATTATATTGACACTTGGTCTTCAGTCCACCTCATGTATGCGTGTTTAATATTATTAAACAAATTCAAGAAAAAAGATATATATTGAAAATATGTATTTTTAAACCAATATATTTATATGGAGATTAAATGATATTTAAGACGATATTTTATATTCATGGAACGAAAGTAAAAGTAAATACCGACCTGTGTCAAATCATCCGTACATTTTATCATATGCATGTGATATAATACATATGTACCTTGAAAATCCTTGCACTGAGATAGACTTTAAATCAAGCATCTCCATATTTAATTTAAGATTCCATTGATTTATTATGAAATGTATTTGTCGATAGATTTCGGGAATTGCATTTCATTTATCGCATTAGGTAATACAATGTAGCTCTTCACCGCTTACGGTCACAGAATATTTCTGTACAAGTGCCATCATAATCATTCGTTTAATGTTTAATAGTTGTGCATCTGCATTTAATATGCACCTATAAGACAAAATATAGAAAATCAAATGGACATAATTACGATACAAGGAAAGTAAAAGCACAGTGTTCACTCAAAGTCTGCAATCATTAGGTAATAAAGGCTTAATCTGTATTCCTTACTATTACATGTGTTTGTAATCGTCTATGTATACGATAATTAGACGAGAAAAGTAAAAAATAAAGAACATTACAACACGTACTCTCACACTACTTGTACACATCCTGCACTTCTTTCAATTACTGTCAGTCAAAATCTTAAACAAAGAGTTTATTTTATGCAAACATATCTTCTCGATCAGCTCCAACACCATCACCATCTTCCAAGCTTGAAAAGTTGAGAAAATGGGCCGGCCTGTGCACCTCGTGATAAAATTCCTTTGGATTCGCTAGTTGTAACTCGTATTTCATGTTGGGATCGTGTCTCACACCCATGAAATTGTAATTCCACGAGCCTTGACTGGGCACCATAAAGAAGCCAAGGAAACGATCGGACAAAAGCATCTGTACTTTCTCGTAATGGCTAGGTAGATAACCCTTCGGATTGTTGCCCTTATCAGTATTTTGCTTGCCCCATTCGAAACCACTCGGAGTCAGTTTGTACGCTGTGAGAGAGCAAGAACCAGGCGTGAAACTGCAAGTGATAACTATGGTCTTCTCGCCGTCCCAAATGGAATTCTCCGCCATAATCCGGGCGTGAGTGGATATGTCCTGCGGCGAGAGTTGTGGCAGCTCGTTTGGCTGCGTGTGTATCCATCCTAGCGGTTCCATCTCTTTTAAATATTGATGGTTAGGTAGTGTATTTGGTAAATGAACGGTCTGATGAGTTCCCCATTGCGGTGCCATTACAATACATCTGATTTCTTTTACCTGTCACACATAGAACATGAAATTAGAGTATATTACAGCTAAAATTGATTTAAATTTTAATATATAAAATAAACAGTTTTTAAATATTAAATATAATATATAAAATAAAATAAAAAATTATTTATATACATATATTAAAAAATATTTCAAATATAGATGAAATGATTTAACAATTACCTGAGGATTATCAGGTGGACTGATGCCATATAAATAGCCAGCTATCTGCGCTCGCAAATCGGAAATGGTAACAAATTTCTTTAATACATTCTTAGGCAAGATATAAGTATAACCGGTCTCTTTGATATCGTCGGATGAAACATAGATGTGATTTGTTCTGAGATGGAGATTGGTTGCAGAGATAGCACGTACTCGCCACTCAGTCTTAGAGCTGAAAGTCTGCGTCTCATAGTTGGACGTAGTCGCAGTAATAATCTCATCACCGTGTTTATTTACTGTTCGCGTGGTAGTAGCGGTCAATTGGCTCTGTTCCTTAGTCTGCTTTTCAATTTCGGCAATTTGTTGCCGTTGCGCAGATGGAGCACTTATTTCCATACCCAAAATGATGTCGCGAATCTCGGATTGCGTGAGCGATGCAACATTGACATTGTTTTTCTTGCCATAGTCCGCTAGAATCAGATCCTTTAGTTGTACTTCTACTTTAATCCATTCGTCGTCCGTCAGGGATGGCCATATATGATGTGGCTCAGTGATGGTAGTCTTGTCGGGTTTGAGGACGACTTTGGTTCTCTCAGTGTTAACATGCAGAGCGCGTAAGATCAGAATCAGTCGTGAGAACGCAGTATAAGATGAGATTGTCTTCAACCAGTCGTCATAAAGATTGAATAGTACCATCTGTGGCTCGGTCGCCTTTAAAATCAAATCACCAAACTTCTCGACTTTGAGACATGCCTGGAATGGTAATTGTAACTCGGATCCTTTGATGACTATATTGGGGAAGTCCAGCAAGTGTACTTCCAGTGGATCTAACATTCCCTTTCTGGTGACGATAATCTGCTTCGGTTGTTCCTCTACTGGTAGAGAACGAATCAGCGCAGCAACTTCTTCAGCGGTCTTCCATTTGGCCAATTGACCCAGACGCTTTTGGCCCGCCCAGACGGAGGTGTGAATAATTTTCAAAAAGAGTTGTCCCGTGCGTGGATTGAAGATGAAGATTGCACCATTTATCGGCTTTGTCGTTAAATTGCCTTCAAAAGTTTTGTGGATAGTCACGCGATACACGTTCGTGTCGTCAACGAACCATATGATCTGATTGGAGAAGAGCTCGCCATAGTTTTGTGAGGAGAGGTAAGGCTCCGTCGGTTCGGATGAATATAACTGCAACGCCTTGCGAATACGTTCACGTAACACATACAAGGCTGGATTTGCTTTCATGATCTTTGCCATGGCTTGCTGTATAAGTGGTTTGCAACCAGGGAACCAATTGCCGTAAGCGCTATGCAAGTTGTATGCCAAATCGATGGCTATGAGGAGACCAGTGGGTGATGGATAGATGGACATGTTGTCCGTAGTATAATCAAGGAATTTCGCACGAGCATATCGCTCGATGTCATGTGAGTCATAGTCACCCCATCTCAATTGAACATCAATCCAATATTTTTGCGTGGTCGTGTTATCCATCACATCTTTGGAGTCAGCGAGAAGAGATGGTCGAGACACGTTCCACTTATAGGCGGAGAATAGTAGAATGTCGGCACATGAGGAGTTCATTTTGTAAGACTTTCGTGGATGTATCGTCTCCTTCTGCACAGTTTCAATTTCTAGTGCATCCAACTCTTGATCGAACACCTGGCAAAGATCCATCACAATGGATTCGTGTACCTTTTGCCACAAGTGAGCGCGGAATATCTGGATCAACGAGATTTTTAAGGTTGGGATTTTTCCGTGCATGAATATCCCCGTCAGATCAAGCTGCACCTGGAAACCGACGTAAACGTTGGCGCGATTAATGGTGGGTGACCACCATAGAGTGAATCGACGATTGGGAATCTGGTTGAGACCGGAACGTTGAGCATTTGTCAATTTCTTGTATTTCATGGATTCTTCGAAACCAGATGCTTTCTCCCAAAACAGACCCTCCCACGTCGGGAAGTAGGTTCCCTTAAAGAGAGTATGTTCCAGGATGCCCTCGACACCGCCAAGCGCTTGAATCATGTCAGTTCGGTAGTTGTTCAAATTCCATAGTTTGCCGTCATGACGTTGATGAGTCCACCAAAACGGATTCTGTTTCAACACCTGATACTGTTTGAATTCGGTGCGAATGCGCCAGCCTTTGTCATAGGCCAGCGTGTGTCGGTCTTTCTGAAATAGCGTATTTATTCTGGGAATACCCCGATCCCAGCTATCCTCGAGATCTTCCAGAGTGAGTCTGCGATTCTGAGCGTTGGCCTCTTGCCGTTTCAGGGCGTACTCTGCCCAAACGCGTTGAGAATCGATAAATTCTGATTCCCACGGCTGTATGTAACGATACAAGTTCGGAATCAGTTGATCTTCGTCGTGGCTCATACCCGAACGGAAGTGAGTGATGCCCACGTCGGTTTGCTTCGACCATCTCAAGTCTGACTGCGGTATTAACACATGACCCATCGATAACATTCCTAAACCTCCCAATTCTTTGGGTGTGTAAAAGACGACAGGTGGAAAACGCGATGGCATTTTGGAATTCAGTCCGATTTTAATACGTGTTTGAATCTTATTTTCACACTTGACTAGCAGATCCAATAACTCTTGTGTGTTCACCACTGCTTCTCTGAAATAAGTCATTAAACCGATTAATGCAGTATTCCACTTATTTACGATCTTCGTGAAAGTAGTTGAACCCGAGGCCATCAAGATTTGTCTGACACGATTATGGAAACGCTGCAAGCTCTCATCATCAACACGCAGGAAGCATTGCGCCGTTCTCTCTTTTGTGATTTCGTTCTGAAGATTCCAGACGCCATCCCGATGTGTAAATTCCTCGTGAGTTGTTCTACATTTGGGCAGAATCCTGCATTCAAAGCCACTCATGTTGAACAATAGATTGGGATTATCTTTGCTATAGACGCTGACAAAGCTATTCTCCCACTGAATGGTAGTGGTGGAACGTGGTAGTCGATTTTTAATGTCCCAGAAAACGGCGCGACCTAGGTTCACGTCGTGCTTCATCAGCCTCATACGAGCGTCTCGCGGCCAACATTTCTTATTGTTGTAACCAACAATGTTCTCATTGTTCGGATCAGGATGCTCAGTAAGATAACGCTGAATAAGATCTCTCGCTTCATCAGCAGAGAAACGCAGGAACAGATGTATTCTGTCGACATAGCGACAGTACAATCGAATAGGATGCGCCGTTTCAGAGGCGACATCTTGAAACGTCAAGAAGTCGTTTGGCATTTGCGGCGGGCCGGCCATCTCGCTAGCTCGTTGGAGACCTAACACAAGCAGATCCAATACCAGTCCATAGTATTGAGCGATAAAAGATGCAAATTGTAGTCCCCTGAT